TTCCCATCCTTCTCTCTGTAAAGTTGTGATGTTCTATCACGATCCTTTTCAACACCTTTTATCTCGTCCCTCAACTTCCTCCGTTCCTCCACCAATCTAGCAACCTCCTCCCTCTGTTTCCTCTCTTCCTCCTCTAATAATTCCCTCTCTAATCTAGCCTGTCTTTTCTCTTCGGCTTTTCTGCGGGCTTTTTCAACTCGACTCTCCGGGAAGCTACCCCCGTTCTCACCCATCTTAGCCAATAGCCCCCTATGCTCAGAATCAGATAAATTGTCGTCTCCTGATGAACTTATCCTAAACATTTTTCTCGAAAGCCATCTAATGCTCAAGAAAAAAGACGTAAAAAGCCTACAGCAGAAAATCACAATACCTGAATAAGACTTTTCTGCCAAACAATGTTCATCTCCTCTGCAAAGACCGCCCCCGTTCCTCCTCCAGTAACCAGAATTGCCTGCAACAGACTTCCCAACCCAACTGCCACTCTCCAACCAATCTTGACCAGACATCCACCCATTATCCGGCCATACCCTCTGGTTCAACAATTTCCCACTCTTTCCAACAAGTTCCTTAATAATCCCAGAATTCGAGAACCCCGGTGGTATAGGCAAGTCTAGAACTGGTCTTTTAGAAATATGACCACAGCAGGAGCACATGAACCGACCACCAGCAGGATTTTGATCCTTGTATGGAGTCAAGCAGTTTCGACATCGCTTAGTCGCCGTTTTCTTTAGCTTCTGCAACTCAATTGCTTCAAATCTCTTTCGCTCCCTAAGCCGCGCATTTCTACGCACACGCCACGCTGACAGTTGAGGCATTAAAATCTCATACCAAAAGAGGGTAACCAAAAGCACAAAAACACAAGCAAGCCTGGGTGATGTAATCTCAAATCTAAATGCAGGCGGCAAAAGCTGAGAGAGCGCCCACAGTCCTATCAGCGGAATAACTAACCAAGGAAGCATCGTAGCAACCCGGCGAGACCACTTCTGAATCACGCACAGTATACACATTATCCCCAAAACCCACACCGCAATCCAACACAACTAACCCCAAAACCACGGACAATCCTCGATCTTCACCTCCAGCAATCCCCAACCGAAAACCTGAACCCTAATTCCCCTTTCCAATCCAAATAGCAATAAGGAAATTTCAAGAAAGTTGAAGAACCCTAGGAGCTAAAAGAAAATCTTGAAACCTGGCATACACAAATACTAATCCGCCATAAATGCCCCCATAATCGAACATCAGAAGAAGCAGTGGAATCGATAAGTTCAACTATTCAGGTATCCAAGGGCATGGAGTCGGTGGAAGCTGAGGGATTGCAAAGACTAGCAGATGCGGAAGCCATATGAGCACAAGATTATATAAAAATGAGAGCCCGATTAAATAAAGATTCAAAACCAGAAATCTTCCAGTGGAGAAGATGATATGATCCGGTGAGTCCAAAGAGCGTCGGTGCCGTCGTCAAGGCCGTCCGTCCCAGCGAAGAAACTCTGATAAGACAGAGATAGATAAGAGTACGAGAAAGAAGGAGAATGAAAATGAAGGATTTTTTTTTAAATGACGTGGGGGTAAAGAAGCAATAATCCCTGTTATACCCCCGGTTCACTTCCAAAATTTTATTTATTTTTTTTTAATTTATTTTATTTTTAAAAAAATATACAATTTATTGATGAGACTAAAACTGCTTCTATATCCTTATTTTTCATTCTATGCCAAGAAAATTTTAATTTTTCATAAGCTAAAAGGGACATAAACGCCCTTGAAATAATCAACTGCATAACAGGGGCAAAAACGTCTTTTCACATTGAAAGGCCTAATATATATATATATATTTTTTTAAATCGTCTCTCTTTCTCTCTCTTTATATTTTACGAAAACTTAAACCTTGGATTTGGTATACGAATATTAATGTTATACTGACTCTTCTCATTAATTATGAAATCATTTTCTTAAATTTACTTAATTGGTAAGTAAATAATTTACATGCGAATTTTCAAAAAGTGTGTATCTTAATTATATAATTATGTTAAATAGTGTACTAAAAAATAGTAATTATATATTCATGATCCATTCAAAACATTATTGATATATATATATATATTGCCTTTTTGACAATTTATTCTCGTTTCTTTCCCTTTTTTAAGCTGCAATGGAGAAAATTGGTCATTGCAGGCTATTCGGCCGAAGAAGAGGCCCAATTCGTAACAGTTTCAGACATAACAGCCCGGCCCGATAAGCCCATAACGGACCATGAAATTTGGTCTCTGAATTAAAAATAAAATGTTAAAATTTAGCCATGATTTTAAAAAAGGTTAAATTTGGATATTCATAAATGGTCCCTAAGATAGTAACTATGAGAGAGTAACTATTTATAAAATTTTATCATATCATAATAGTGAAATTTTAATGTCTAAAAATTATAAATTTTATTAAACCGATTCAAAAAATTATATTAGAGCTAGTTACATATTTAATAATTGTTAACCATTCAAATATTCAATGGACCAAGCAAATTGGAACTAAGAGCTCAATTATGTCGAAAATTACAGTCTTATTTTTAATTTTTATCCTAATATTAAAAGTATGGCAATGATGAGTTGGATTGTGAATCTTATTTTTAGCTGGACCAATTGACCTGTTAAAAAACTCATGAATCAAATCAAATTTTCGATTTTCACAAAATTTAACCCAATTTGAAAGTATATATATATATATATATATTGTTGGATGATGGAAGTCCCACATCGGCTAATTTAGGGAATGATCATGGGTTTATAAGTGAGGAATACTAACTTCATTGGTATGAGGTCTTTTGGGAAAGCTCAAAGCAAAACCATGAGAGCTTATGCTCAAAGTGGACAATATCATACCATTGTGGAGAGTCGTGTTCGTCCAACATGGTATCAAAGCCAATCTCAAATATCGAACAAAGAACTCCAAAAAGAAAAATGTCAAAAATGACTAAGACTCCAAAGGAGTCGAGCCTCGATTAAGGGGAGGCGCACTTTGTTCGAGGGGAGGTGTTTGACTCAAATGATATGAAACTTTAGGGATCCAAAAAAATTATTTTATTAAAATCTATAAACAAATGACTCGTATTAACGTTACTATTAAACCAGAACTATATATCAGATTTATTGAAGTTGGTGATTACCTCTTCCTCCGGCTGTAGCTGTGGCAGTATACAATCGATGACGGTTGGTCCTCCGCTTCCATTGCCATCTCCGCCGAAACTCGGGACTGAACCGCCTCTTTTAACTTGATGTTCATTTCATGTCGATGATAATGCCATTGCCAACTCAGCCAAAAGAATCAACGGCTCAAATGGAGAGTTGAAATCCCTAGTGTAGATTGATATTCCTCCGATCATTACAAGATCGTCCTTGTCCTCGTCCAAGCCTGAAGAAACCGAAGCCATGAAGGATAAATCTTTTGCAAAAGAATTGAGGAGCAGCCCTTCGCGCCCGTTTCCAGTTTCTTCTTCGTTCTTTTCAATAATAATAGTAAGAAATAATCATCATTTTTAATCATCATTTTAATTTTTAAAATTAAAAAGAATAGATAGTTGTTTCTTTCATTAATACTTATTATTATTCTTAAATCCAAATTTTGAAAACTAAAAAGATTTTTTTTTTTTTTTAGCTGTGACAGAAAAAATCAAAATGATTATTAAAAAAAAAAAGAATTGTAAAAAAATATATACAAATTATAAATTAAAGGGCTGTTGAATAGAGCTTAGACTTATCTTTAATTTGGAGTGTGATATTTAATAACATGAAATTTTTTAAAAAGGAAAAATTGAGGGTCCCCACGTCAATGGAACTGTCCCACGATTTAAATAATAATAATTATAATGAATAAATAAAATCCAGCTGTTTATTATCATTATTATTATTTTATTATTGGCCCAAAAAGAAGATATCCTTTTCTACTAAAAGTTGTGAAGGTCGATGGCACCTTGGAACTGTTAAGAATATTTAATAATAAATTATTATATATATCATATTTAATATTTTATTATAGAAAAATATTTAGATATTTGCTTTCTTAGATATATTTTTATATATTGTTCTTTCTATTTATTACTATTTTCATATTCGTGTAATATATTTGATTATAAATAGAGAATTTTCATGCATTATTTAAGTGCGGTGATTTTAGCAAATATTCTCAGGAACAAAGACACGACTCATCTATGTCTCATTTTGGTCAACTTGTGTTAGGTCCTCCATGACTGATATGAGATAACTTCTTTAGCCTGGATCGATTTACATTGGTTTACTTATCTTGGTCTCCCTCGACATTTCTTAGATTTACAAGATCAGTACTTGTTTTTAGGGTAAGACTCGTATTCTCTTCTCCAACTGATGTGCGATCTTACAATCTACCTCTTTTTAAGGTCCAAGATATTTGTTGGCACACCGCCTCATTCCACCCCCTTCGGGGCTCAGCCTCCTTGCCACATCGCCTAGATCCGGCTCTGATACAGCTGTACCAGCCCGAACACAGCTAGCAGATATTGTTCTCTTTAGGCTTTTCCTTAAGGTTTTTAAAACCCGTTTATTAGAGAGATGTTTCTACACTCTAATAATAAAATGTTTTGTTCTTCTTCCCATCCAATGTGGGATCTCACAATTGGGTCCTCTCAATGGGCGAACTTCTTGTCTTAGAAGTTGAACCACGATAACTTTGAAGGGATAATTTAACCGAAAAAAATATTAAAGCCGAACAAAAATTTGTTATTACTAATATTTATTAACACATAATATTTAGCATTACAATGCTATAATAAGTTGAAGATTAGTTAACTAAAATTTTACAATGGTCAAAATCTATTTTCTCATATTTTAAATTACTAAAAAGTAAAAGATTTAATCATTTAAAAATCATTTTTAAATATGCTTTTAAAAATATGGGCCGAAACTAAAACCTAACTGGACTATAAAGTGCCGGTCCGTGAACTAGTTCTGGGCCTCTGGGACGGAGTCGCAAGGATCCACCGCCAATCCAAAAGCGGGAGAAGAGGCAAGCGATTCTATAGAGCTGAGGTTCTTCGAAAAATTAGGCAAATCACCGTCGACGATGGGAGAACCTCCATTTCTGTTGCTCCTAGTTTCGCTATTCTCGCTGATTCCGAATTTTCTGGCTTACAGGCCTGGAGACATCGTTCCGATGAGTAAGATGGGGCAGTATCACTCGGTTCGTTTTCCTGTTCTCGGTTATCGCACACAAGTCTTCATGGATGCTTTTTCATATCTTCTCGTTTCCGATCAATTGTTCGTCTCTTTCACAGACGTATATTTTGTTTATTTCAGTCGAGAACAGTTTGGCACGATATGATTGGTCGACATTGTCCAATTTTCGGCGTCAATCGCGAGGTATGCATCAATTGAGTTGTATGTGTTGACGTTCTCTTCAACTTTTCCTTTCCATTTTCTGTCATGATTTAGGCAACTGATCCATTACAATCTTTAGGTTTTGGTTCCAATACCGAAGCCGGTCGGCTACACAGGAGCTGATCCGTATAAAATGTAAGAATTTTGTACTCAAGATTGTGCTCTAATTTCTTTTAGTTCACGTCAAGTTCTAGGAGTGCTGAATTATTTTAAACTGGAACGGACGGTTTAATTGTACATTAACTGAATAATAAGTGATTATATATATCTGAATCTGATAGCCTGCATTTGCTAATCAAGAATCTCTCGTTTCGAAGCATTTGTCATGCGTTGAAGTTCTTACAACAATGATGCAAATGGATTCTTCTAGAGTGAGAAGAATAGTATAGTCGGTTCAATAAATTTACTCGCTAGCAACCTGCAGAGGATATTCTTATTCTACTTTTGTCTAGTTTCGATGATTTAGTACCACATCTCATATAGTCTTATCGTTTATGCTGTGTGAAGAAAATTTGTTGCATCTCTTTTACTTAAAACTTATTTCTGAATAAAGGAAAAACAGTATAATAATTGACGTGACATAAAACTATTTGTAGTATGCAACAATCACTACTAGAACTTGAAGTTCTCCTCACGTCATCTGTCTAGCTTTGAAAATCAGTAGAAGGTTGCAATGTTTCCTAGTGCCTGCTATCTATCTTCAAGTTTGTATTATTTTTTATAAGTTTTTGATTCTCTGTTGCATCGCACCTACAATGTGGAAATGGAGAAATGAGAGTGTAGGTGACGTCTAGGGATTATGCTTAGAAGTATAACCTTAAGATTTTTTCATGCAATTAATCTCCTCATTTTACCTTTATTTTTATTTCTAATTATAACTACGGGAATAGACTGTCATGATACATTATTATTTCATCAACTGGTTTTTCACTACCATGAGTTGGCTTGGTTTTTAAAAATGCAATTTACATTTTAGATGTTTGTCTAGGTTATAGTTTTAAATTTGTGTGATGACCGCTATGATACATAGCAAGTTGTCATCAAAATGTGTGACGAATACTAACTTGTTACTATTTCCATAGATTTTACGATAAGAAATAATATTGGACATAAAAACTATATCATGGGATTACTTGAGCACATTTGAAGTTATAGTTGATCTATATTCTTCCGATTATTAATATATTGTGTTTGCTTTTCTATTTGCCACAATGTTCCATCCTGTTTTATGAATTATTACACTTTTTGAGTTATCTGGTTGCATATATCTTCTTTGAATGTAGATCCTTTCAAGTTGGAAAAGAAAAGTTTCTTGTCCCATGGCTTCTTGTGATCAATCGCAAAAGTGCACAAGTCCCAATGATTGATGTCCACTTGGTATGGTATTTATTGTAGATAGATTAGATATCTGTTATTTCCACAGTTCAAAGGTGGACGATCCAGTCCTTCACTGTTGAGCTGAGTTTCTGACTACTTGCATCTGACAACCATTGTCAATTTATTTGTGCTACAGAGGTACTCTGGAAGTGATCTTCATGGTGTGACTGCCAAAGTAATGGATATGCCTCATATCTGTATGTCCCGACTCTGTTAATGCTCTCCACATTCTTTCCTTAACTCATACATAGAAATATTGTTCTTTTTGATAGAAAAGTATTTATATTCCCCAGTTTGATGATAGCAAACTCTATAAAAATCAATTGCACTTTATTCGGATATCTAAAACTGATATTGGAGAAGTTTATTTATAGCTAAGTGAAGAATATGATTGACTACTCCGTACATATAAGTTGGACACCTAACTTCTTTAGAATGCCTATTTGCACTCTAGTGCACCACCAAGTGAAATATCGTCATCTTACGTAAGTCTGTATTTATATTATAAATATATGGTTCCTTTTGCTGAAATCACATTGACATCTGATTTATAATAGAATCTGGGTTAATTGCTGAAACTTTTGCTTTTAGCATGTTTGCTGACGAGCTACCTACACAAGAGAGTCTCACTATTTTTAAAGAGACTTATATGAGATAATCAAAAGTAGTTTGGTAGATCCCGTGTTATAGGAATGGGAGATAAGAGAGTGAAATTTCGCGTGAAGAATTGTGGGGTTACGTCAGATCGTTTGTCTTTGTGGTGTTCTGTTCTGCCCGATTTTTGTAATTATGATCCAAGTCAAATTTACGCCAATTAGGATCCTTTTTGCAACTCCCATGGCTCTTGGGGATTTCTCTTCTCCTCCTTTTTGCACATATTTTCTTCGATTAATGATTATGTCTAACCCAAAAGGTACTTCTTTGCATATAAATGATTTACCCTCACTGAATACTACTCTTTGCTCACAACTTTCCCGCCCTTCAATTAGTTGCACCACTTGGTCACAAATAAGGGCATCATTCAATTTACCTGTACTACTACAACTATCCACAGGGCAATTCCCATTACTCTCTTCCTCTGATATACATGAATGTCCGAGTCCCTATCATAGTTCTCCATATCAAATGTCGATCATAGCTCTCCAGTATAATTGTCTGATATTCAATTTGTACAAAAGAAATAATTTCCAGTACATATCTAACAGCTGTTTCCTGCCATTATTCGTATCTCTTTAGTCTCGATGTAATGGGTGTATCCACTAGCTTTATCCTATAAATTGTTTCCAGTGCATTTATATCATTTTTTGTCATTGCTTTTATCTGTTGATTGACGCCATGATAAGTCTTGCAGTATACCTTAAGTTCAGACAACACGGTCAGTCTCGAGTGGCCGTTGTCTAATACCTGATAGGAAGACAAAAATATTATGAGTAGTGGGTTTCTGTGAATTTTGTAGAACCTGTTGAGAGTTCATATCATATTTGCTTAACTTGTTAAATTCTTAACCGATCCATCTGTATTGCACCTTGTCTGAGTGAAGTTTTTCTTAGCGTTCTGACTACTTTCTTCTCAATAGATCTTGATTCGCATCCACATATTAGCCAACAATTCTGGGATCAACAGCATTGGCCAAAGCATATCCTTGTCCGTTATACATGGTAAGTCATCTGTAACTTCTTTGATTGAATCTTATTTTACAATTCTTATTCTTATGATAAACCAGTTTCTTATTCTTATTTTTATGATAAACCAGTTTCTCATGCTTATTTTGAAATTCTTTTCCTTACCACCGGTAGTTTTTTTTTTTTTTTTTTT